CAGGGGCCGATGCTCCAACAGCAACAAGAGGCGACCAGAAGCGGCTTTGAGGGCAAATTTTATTGAAAACAATGACTGGGTTGAAGGGGTACACACCGTTCCCAAAAATAGAAGGCGAGAAGGGCTGCCACTGCAGATCAAAGCCCTCGTCCACCTTGAAGCCAAGCTGGTTGCCCCCCCCATGGCAGAGGGGACACAGCAGGACAAGAAAGCGTGGGATGGGGAGAGGGGCAGGTAAGACCCGTGTCAAGCGAAGCAGAGCAGATGGCACACGGGGGTGGCGGGGTCACCGCTTCAGCAAAGCTTTGCTTCATCCACAGGGTCCTAAACCCTTTCCCCAAAATACAGGGAAACGGGACTTCCTCCAGGAAAAGAAACGCAGAAAAAAAAAAGTAAAAGCAAAAAAAGAAAAAAAAAAAAAGCACCAAAACCCACTGAGATAAAGGAAGGAGAATGGGGTTGGAACAAGGAGAGAAGGGAAAAACCCAAAAGCTCAACATCAAAACAAAAACCAAGGCAAAGTAACCAACTATGGGAAAAAAAAATACAATTGTACATCTCAGCCGTGAAGCTGTCAAACCAAGCGGGTAAGGGTGCTCCCGGAGAGCGTCGGGTGGTTTGCAGAGGGGGACCGAGGAAGGAGAAGGGGGAGACCATCAATCACTTTCTTATTTTACACGAAGAGGTGTGGGGGGGGGTGTGTGTGTGTCAGGGTCGAACCAGAGCTGAACAGGGTTTGGGCAGCTCAGCCTGGGCTGGTTTTCTCGGGGTTTGTTGACTCGGGGAAGGGGATGAGAGCGGTGATGGGGGGAAAAGCGCTGCCACACGATGTCCCAGCACAGCATCCCCCCCAGGAGCAGCACACAGGAATAGATGGTGTCAAGCAGCCCTGGAACAGCCCCATTTCCAGGCAGGGGGGCCCCAGTGCTGCTCCAACCCCCAGGCTGCAGGAGTGGGGAGCAATGAATTTAAGGGGAGATCATCCTTCAGGGGGTGGGGGCACCCTGACCACTGGAAATGCACCCTGAAATCCAGAGCGCCAGGGCACAAATTTCAGGAAAAACCTTTTTAAAAGACTCAGTTAAAAAACTAGATGCATTTCTTTTCTTATATATAAAAAAAAAAAAAAAAGAAGGCTTAGGCCAGGGTATCTTCTAGTGACCCCTTCCCCACCACCCCAAATTTAGCCAGGAAAAATGCTAGCCATTTCACCAAATCTGCTGGCCACACAGACATTCACACATTCATCATTGATTTAAAAATATATAATATATATATAGCGCACACACATACACACAAATATATATTAGAAAAGAAAAAAAAAATCCCTCTGAAAACTCAATCCATTAAAAAAACCCAACAAAATCCACAGCCGGTGCATTTATCCCGTGATCCTATACAGCAGAAGACAGAAATCCCTTTTGCTCCCATAGCTCCTGGCCGAGTGCTCAGGGTGGGAGAGCGGGGAAACACATCAGGTTTTCACAGTGGATTTGTTCGCGGAGAAGGAACTGCTCCCTCCCTCCTCCCCCACAGAAGGGCTTTAATTTATAGCAAGTTAGATTAAAACTAGGCAACATGTTACAAAGTCCATTATATATAGACATAAAAATGTACAACTGTCTGCAGCCCCCGTGCGAGTCGCTGGGGTTTTGATCTCGGCTGACACCTCGGCGGGCAGCTGGAGGGTTCGAAGGCAGTTTGGGGACACGAGGGGTGCAAGTACGGCCTCCGAAACGAGCAGGTGTCACAGTGCGAGGTCTTACGTGAACTCCAGGTTGGAAGGGAGATGGAGCAACGTTTTCTCCAGGAGCCAGGGAAGATGGAGGCAGGGGCTGCAAAAGTGCCCGGAGAGGGGATGCGTCCTCCCAGCCCAGGGCTGGAGGGGAGAGAGGCAGCGCCTGGGGACCTGCTCATCTCTCCATCACCCCGTGCCCGTGTGGGGAAGGGAGCAGTGTGTGCTGAAGTCCCGTGGGCAGGCGTGTGGAGAACGTGGGTCGCAGCTTGCATCAAGGTGGGCTCATCGAAAAATGCCTTCCCTCCCCCCCCCAAGCAAGGGAGCAGTGTATCGATTGAGGGAGGGGGACACCCAGTCTAGTGCTGCCTCAAAGGGTCATGAAGATGTCGAGGCACGCATTAAAGCAGCCTCTGGTGTGAACAGTGGCATGCCCAGGGAGCCCCACGGTCCCCTAAAAAGCTGCATAGGCTCCTGGGGGCAGAGAGTCAGGCACAAAGGGACGGCGAGCGAGACCAGGTGCCGGGGAAGGGAATTTGGGCAGGCAGGGCAGAAGAGTGGGGCAAGCACAGCAGCATTTTTTCCTCTCTGCCTTCCCCAGGCAGCAAAGAAACACAAGCCCCCTGCACTGTGCACCAGGCTGCTGGGGAGGGGAGGTGCCCTCTGGCACCCTCTGCCCTGGCCCTGCTCAGGCACCACGGGCACAGTCCTCTCCCCAGGAGGGATACGCTGGCATCATCAGGGAACTCCTGAGCCTTCAGTCTCCGTGGCTTTAGTTGGAAAAGTGTTGGCTTCAAAAGGCTCATCCTGGGGGATTTGATTTACAGGGTGAAGAAAAAAAAAAAAAAAAAAAGAGATTGCGAGGTCGGATGGGGCCAGAGATGCCCATGGGTTGGGGAGGTGCGATTTGTGCAAACCACCGTTAACTCGAGTCCTCATTCGCTTTTCTGTAGGGAAGCCAGGATGGAGGGGACCGCACGAAGCCGTGAAGTTTGAGTTAGGAGTCTTCCCCAAGGATCTCTGTCACGAAGGAGGCCATGTCAGTCTCTTTGGTGTCGTGCAAGGTAAAGAAAGGATGTTCCTGCCAACAAGACCAAAGACAACATCAGCCAACACCCAAGGACAGACAAGCCCAAGAGCAGTCCCTGGGGGATGTCACGCAGCTGGGGAGGTGCTGGGGGAGAGGTGGACACCAACCTCCTCCCCAAGCTCCCACAGACACCATCCTTTCGCTTAAAGATTAACTAACACTTTCAGTTTGGCATTTCTAGGTCCAATCCCTGCGGGACAGCCCTCAGCAGCTGTACTGCCATCATTTGAGGTCTAAACTTGCCAAGAGCAGATAGGGCAAGAGGGCAAAACCACCTAGAAACCCTGACCTTAACACCCCTGAAATCAACGCACCCATCCACCTTCGACACATTACATCCATCCTGCTCCATGCCTGAAAGATCACCCACACCTCCCATTTTCCTAGGACCTGCTGGATCGTTCATTTGACTTTTGAAACGCGTTGCAATAAAGACCAGCAGAAGTGGCTTCACACTTACCATAAGTTCTAAATAGTTCATTCGCTCAGCAGGGTTCTTCCTTAAGCTGGAAGACAAAAAATGGGAGAGAAAGGCTGTAAGGGTGGGGTTTGTTTTTTTTTTTCTGTACGTGGTCAATCACAAGGGATCTCCCCTTCCCAACCTGACATCCTTCTCATGGGCAGCACCCATTCCTCTCCCTCCTTGGCCAAGCAGGTTTGAACTACCAGCAAAGCAGCCAGTCAGGTAACTGGGAAAGGCCAACGCATGGTGTTTTGCCACAAAAAGCACAAGCCAAGCAGCTCGCTGCAGTCTGCCCCACACAGCCTTGCTTGTCCACACAGACCAGAACAAATGGGGAGGAGAGGAGATGGTTTCCCACCGTCTGTAGGGTGGGCAGATCATCTCAAGGCTCGTTTGAGCCTTGCCGTGGTGGGCTCACCCCCTGCCCGGCAGCTCCAAGCAGCACACAGGGAGCAGAGGGACACCCCGAAGAGAGCAGCTACTGCGCATAGTACCCACAAAACCACAAATCAGCTTTCACCCAGAGGCACCCAGACGCTGTCAGGGGTTTGTTCTCGTTTCATTGCCGCTTTGCCAGAAACCACCAAAATTTCAGCAGCGATGAGAGCAAAAGGGGAAGAGAAACCTCTGCGCCTTCCAACCAGCCTGGGTGAGTCAGGCCGAGAGCAATACCAGTTCGGGCAGCGCTTCCTGCCGTGGCCGAGCCTCGGTGGGGAGATAGGGGCTCCGAAAGGATGACAAACCCAGAACCCAGCCCCACACTTTGCTCCAACCCCCACGGGTCAGGGCTCCCCTTCAGCCGGGCTGGGAGAAGCCACCAGTCCCTGCCAGAGACTCACCACTGCGCTGTGAAGTCCACAAACTCCTTGGAGAAGCGATCGGTGGGCAGCTGGGGCGAAGGCTCCTCCACCACTTGCTTGAGCTGTTGGAAGGGGGTCCCCCAGGACTCGTACGGGAAGCGAAGGATGGCCAGTTCGATCTGAGGATGGAGACAGGCTGACATGAGCCACCCGGACGAGCACAACCCCACGCAGCCGGCCTGCCTCAGCCCCTGCCACCAGCTCAGATTCAAAATGAAAAACCTCTTTCCTTACAAACCATTTTCAATTTGGGTCACACCACTTTTTTTTTTTTAAATACAAAGACCCAGAGGCCAAAAATACTTCCTTTTGAGGCTGGCTCAGCATATTAATGCATTTACAGGAAGCCACCAAAGATATGTAAAATGGGATTATTTGAAAAGATAATAATAACAGCACGCCATTTCTGCACCAGCTTCCAAAGTGCTTTGCTCTCCCCCCAAGCCAGCCTCTGGGCTTCAGACTACTACTGTATAAGGTAGACACACAAAAAAAAAAAATCCACAAACCCAAGGAAAACTAAGTGCTAGAACACCACTTAGGCAGATCTTTGCCAAACCACCTCTCCATTACCAGGTCCTTCCTACAAGTCACCTCTGCTCCGTCACCCTTTCAAGCAGGAAAAAGCCCATCATGGCTCTTGGGCAGTTGCCTCATGCCGAGGGTTAGCTCCCATCTCCAGACAGGCAGCAAGAACCTCTGGACCTGCCCAGTAGGGTGGGCTGGGATGGAATGGGAGGAGTGAGAAACCTGAAGGGATGCAGGGCAGAGCCAGGGACCCCCTGCCTGCCTCTGGCTCTGGCCTGGGGAGCTCCTGCTGCTGGAAAACTGAATGAAGCCACCAGCCTGGAAAGGCCTGGATTAGCCCTGCAACTCAATGGCCATAAAACCAGCTGGTCTGAAATCAATCAAACCCCTTCAGAAATAATAAAAAAAGAAAAAGAAAACAGGAAGCCAAGCCAAAAGGAAGACATTAGAGGGAGTCAGAGAGGTCGGGGCTCCGGTCGGCTGCAGGCTGGCAGGCTTTCAGCAGGGTCCCCTCTCCCATCCCGCTTTGGAAAGGTTGAGAGATTTCGTCATTCACACAATCTCCCATCCCACAGCTTCCTGCATCTTGGGAGGAAAGCCGGAGCTGATTACATTTCCAGCCAACCAGCCCAGCTCTGCTCTGGCATGGGGACACCAAGGAGAGGGGCTTGGGTTTGGCACTGCGGACAAAACTAGCTGGGGAAGAGGGAATATTTGCCAAGAGATCTGCACGGTGCAGACAAATGCAGGGATGCAGCACCCGAAACAAGTCACAGCTAACAGGGCGCAGGAAAAATTCCTGAAAATAATCTACCCGCAGAGAGCCAGTCTCCTGGAAAGCGAGACATGCGTTCCCAGGCGGCATCCCCTTCGAGCCAGCAGCTGGGCTTTCCTTTGTCCTCTGGCGCCAGAAGATTTCAGCTGCTTTCTGCAAGATCCGTTTCTTGCAGGAGGTAGATAAACCATCCTGAGCAGCTGCGATTTTGGAACTGAAAGTATTTCCCCTTCCTGTTGGCTGCTGTGAGCTACCCTGCAGGCAGGACTTGCCGCAAACCATGCACAGCCCCCCTCGCTGCAGCAAGGCGGGCTAACTCACCCCAATCCTCCTGCAAGGCTTTACTAACACGGGAGGGGGGTGCATGCAGAAAGGCCGTGACCCAGCCGCAGCAAACCCTGCTCCCCTGACTACCTCTCCAGCCAGAGCCTGGGGAAATGCCGAGCAATTAAAAGCCAGACTCATGGATGCCCAACTAAGCCCACTGTCATCCAGATATTGCCCCCTGGGAGTCTGCCATCCACACCAACATAGTTCAGAGCTAACTGGAGCTATTTGGAGCTGGCATTGTACACAAGTAGCTCTGAAACCAGTTGGAGGGGTACAAGGGAACCACGTGGGGAGTAACAGGCCTTTATGTATCCCCCAGGGATCCAGCAGGAACATGCAAGGAGGGAGGGGAGGAAAGAGAAGGGGCAGAAGATTGATTATCTCCTGGCAAGCTTGACTTGCAAGAGTCACAGCAGTGGTGGCAATGTTGGCTGCATGCCCCGGCTCACAGCTACCTTGCCCCAGGGTGAGGTACCCCTGTGTGCACAGGGCAGCAGCACCACCCTGTGCCCTGGGTAATCCATCTCATGCCCTATCATGCTCAGAATTTAGCCCCATTTGATGGGCATCCACCCAGGGGTGAAGCCACCAGATACCACTGCTCACAGCAGGGTTAGAGCCCCCCCAGACCCCATCCCCACCCCAGGGCTGCAGGGTGCCAGGTCAAGCCCTTGGTGTTACCATTGTGATCCCCAGGCTCCAGACGTCCGACTTCACATTGTAGCCCTTCTGGTTCAGCTCAGGGTTTATTCTTTCCGGCTGTAACAACAAAATGGAAGATATTACAACCCTATCTCATGTCCCCAGCGCAAACCCCACAGAGCAAACCTCTGGCTCCAAATTCAGGTTGGACGCATTCCCCTGGCTCATGTCCCCATGGAGGCAGGGTCTGAGGTTAAATCTGGCACCGATTGCTCCACACAACCCACATAAACTCTCCCCTCCAGCTCCTGAGTGAGACTTGTACCATCGCTACAGCACGATGCCTACCCCAGGAGCACCAGCTACCCACACAGATGCCACAGATGGCAAAGGGAAATTCATACTGACTTGACAGGATGAAATTAAATGATCCTGCCAAGAAAAGCCTCAGCATTTTCTAGCCAACGAGGAGCAGCCCTTCCAACCACCACCAGCCAGTCTTTTGCCCTTCTGCAAATGGAAGGTGGCAAAGGAAGAGTCTTCTGCGTGATTAACCCACACAGCAGGGCTTACAGGGAGGGTAATCCTGTCCTTGGAGGACTCTGCTGAGTCAGGAAGCCCAGAGCACTCTGAAGTGGTTTCTATCTCAGGACAGAGGTGAACCAAGACTGATTTCTAAGCAGCAGCCCCTTCAAGTAAAGGCTGAAGGCTGCTGGCTCCAGACCCACACGAGCACACTTACAGCCATGTACGGTTTGCAGCCGGCATCCATGGTCTTTGCAACAGAGTCCACCAAGTAGCCGCTGATCCCAAAATCGCACATTTTCACATGTCCCTCCTTGTTGATCAGCACATTAGAAGGTTTCACATCTAAGAGAGAGAACATGAGAGGGCAGATTAGGCCTTTGCAGATGTATCGCAGAGTCTGAGACAAGGTGGGAAACTCCCCATTGACCTGGGAGGGGAGCAGGCAAGCCCTAACCCAAGTCTTTTATTGAAGTAAAAGTTGCTCACAAGTAAAATTATAACCATGCACCTCCAGGCAGAACAGCCCTCCTCTCTAACAAAGCAGGTCAAAAGGATGAAATAAAATGTTGAGGAGTTAATGCCCAGCTTCTTAGGAGAGATTTGTATGCCCAACACAGCCTTAAGAGCTCAATTCTACCAAGTTCTCAGGACAGCTTGTCTCGTGCCCATCATGATCGGTCCACAAGTACACAAGGAGCTGTACCAGGATGAAGAACAGGACCCAAGTATTACAGTTGCCACCTGTGATTTGCAAGATCTCCTTCAGCCCTCACCTTGCTAGAACTACCCAGCCAGGAAGGCTATTTAGGGATTTTGTCCCCAAGAGCTGCCTTTGATGCATCTCTGTACTCAAAGAGAACTAGAGATGCCCATAAAAATACAGGTAGTGAGGAATTCAGTTGTTGTATTCAACCCTTCATCTGGAAAGGAGGATGAGAACAACTTCATACGAGCAGATGCACGAAGGCTACATCTCAGGCATAGGCCTTGGACACCTACATCTGTCCACGATTGTCCCAAGTACCATTAGACCCCACTGTAAGCATCCCAGAGGCACACACCATGCATCTACTGGGAAGGATTCCTCACATAACTTATTTCAAGGCTAGATCTCCAGCCACATCACACTAACCCCATCCAGCACCTACCTCTGTGGATTACGGACAGTTTACTGTGCAGATGCTCCAGAGCTCGTACAATCTGGAAAAAAACACAATGAAAGAGTATCCATTAATCAAACACAGTCCCAGCCTTCCACTGCAAAGAAACCACCACACGCCGTGGGCTCTAACAGACTCAGGGGATGCACAAAACCACATAAGAACCCAAGAGGCACTCACAGACACGGCCATTTTCCCCAAAATGTCTTCAGGGATGGTTTTCTTCTTCTCCAGTACTTTCTTGTAGAATTTATCTAGGGAAGTGTCCATGAGCTCCATGCAGATCCACACATCGCCCTGTGGACAAAGAGAAAGCAGCTGAGAAGGAATTCCCTGCAAATCCCTGCAAGAAGGGAAAGGTGGGGCCACATGGACAAACAGACACTGCCCCTTCACACGTGGTAAGCCAAGGTCCCTGCCATGCAGTCACTGTTGGCCACATCACCAGCACATCGGCTCTGCACTGGATAGTGATGGGCACAGATGTCCAGGTACCACCAAAACTACCTGGAATGGCTCCCTTTGAGGCTCCGGGCTGCAGACAATGTGCTTGGGCACTTGACATGGAAGTGGGGAACGAGACCTGCTCAACACTGCATGATGGAGGCAAGCCTTTGACTTTAAGTCATGGCAGCATCTCAAACAGCCCAGCTGGGCTGAAGAAAGCAGAGGTGGTTTGGGACAGTTTAGTGCCTTCAGTGCAATTGCAGGGGCCCCAGGTGCTGCACAGCCCACCAGCCATCCACCAGCTCAGTACCTCGCGGAAGAGGGCTCCGTAGAAGGTGACTGTGTAGAAGCAGTCAACTGTCCTCATGGAGATGTCCAAGTCCATCAATAACCTCTTCTGCTCCTGAGTGTTCACTGTTGCTCGAATCCTCTGAGACAAATAGGAAAGAAGAGGAGTTTGATGTAGGTGGGATAACGCCATCATAACTCTGGCTGACTCAGAGGACCTGCAGTTCTGAAGCCAGGGCAAGTGTTTTGGGCTTATTTTGTGGCCAGTAGCACCCCAGAAGATGCCCAGATTCCCTCTTCCAGACAGCACTTTAATGAATGACAAGCCCTTGGCAAGCTCTTCAGCAGATGCAGGATCAGGCCAGCAGCCTGGACAGGTACTCTGACATCCAAACCTTGCACCACCTAACTGCAGACACCAAGCCTGGCTTTCAGAGCCTGCTGATCAACCCCACAGCGTCCAGCTGGTATCAGCACAGACCCTCCAACAGCCAAGCCACACCAGGGATACCAGAGGCTGCCAAATCGAGATAAGTCTGTCCCCATTTTGCTGTAACCTGTGGAGCTCAGCAGAGTCTCTCCACTCCCTCGAAGCTGCACATCCCGACCTCCATCTCCCTCAGCAAGCAGCTGTCCTCACCTTCACGGCCATGATGGTGCCGCTCTGTGCGTGTCGGACTTTCTCCACCACGCCGTAGGCCCCACGGCCCAGCTCCGAAATTGCCACCAGGTCATCAGCTTCCACCTCGAAGTTCTTAAAGAAGAGAGACAGAAATCAGACACGGGCACGCTTATCACCAAGGACATCAGCAGAGGTCCAGCACTTGCAGCTCGTTCATGCAGAGCACTTCCAAACAACGGTACCTACAGGACTCCAACAGCCCCCATACGTCCCAGAGGCACCGTGCTTAGAGAAGATGGGTATATTTTTTGCTCTGTCAAACCAGGGCCCAAACCCTTTCATCCCGTACTCACCAGGGCTCACTTAATTCCTGTTCTGCAGCTAGAGATCAGGACTTTCATCCTTTAAGCCAGGGCACGCTGCCACTGGAAAGGGCACCAAAGGTTGGTGCCTTTCTGCCTACTTGGGATTACCCACACAAGGGTATTTCTGCAGTGGCTGAACGACTTGCAGGATTTTAACAGCTCCTGTGCCAACAGCAGTTGGGAGCCTCTGCCACAGCTCCAAATCCCCGTGTGCAGCTGGGGATCCCCCACCTCGCCCTGCATCCCAAGAGAACATCGGTCACACGCACACCCCTACGTGTTTAATAACCCCTCCGCCTGCGCAAAGCCTCTCTTAGATGGGACGGTGCATGCAGCAACCCAGCAACTCAATTCCTAATTATCAGGGAGTTCAAAGCAGGCTTTACCCGCTTTCCATACCTTCTCCCACCACCAGAAAGCAGCCAGCAAGGTAAAACGTGAGTTAGCACCAATGAAGGGAGCTCAGGCGAGCGCAACTGCTTAAGTCTTGCTTCAAGCTGGAAAAAAAACCCACGGCCAGCGCTCAGCCAAGCGAGCGCCCCACGCAGCAGGGAGCCAGCGAGCTCCTGCACAACCCACGAACAAGTTTCCCTAAAGACGTATTACCCTGTAATTGCCTGCTCTGCTGGGCAGGGCACAAACTGTTTGAGTGAGACACGGGCTATTTTTAGCCCCTGCGTTCATCGCTCCTAATAAGTCACAGGCCTTCTTTTAGCCAGGCTTCATCCCAGCCTCCAGTTTTTCTTCGGTCTCAGGGAACAAAAATATAATACCAGGATGCCAAATTGCCCCAGTAGCCACAAAGGCAGCGAGGGTGGGAAACATCCGCGGCACAGGGCCGGATACCGTGCCTGCGAGCTACACCCAGAGCAGAGAGGAAATAGCCTTTGGCATTAAGAAGCCAAGCTGGGAGATGTGGCTGCCGGGCTCCCGGCCAGCAAGCTCCCCTCGGCGCTGGCCACAACACGGCCAGCAGTGACCGGGTCCGCCAGACCTTCCCGCCAGCCCCGGCTCTGTTTATTTGAGCCAGATGTGCCTGGCCGGCATCCGAGGCAGGGAGCAAGAGAGGTCTGTGCTTGAGCTCAGCGCTGAGCTATGCGCTGCCCAGCACAGGAAGGTGCCGGCCCTTTCCTGGGCAGGACGGTGGAGATCCAGAAACGAGGAGAGCAGGGCTAATGGGGACACATCCAACCCCCCCGCCCTGCCGCCCCGGGCAGCTGGCGGAGGAGCAGTGCAGGCTTGCAGCGCCTGCAGGGGCCTCCAGGAAGGATCTGGTGGTGCTTTTCAGGACACGTGTTCTGCAATTGTTCCAGGTTATTGGTTTGGTTTTTTGGTTTTTGGTTTTTTTGGGTTTTTTTTTTTTTTTTTTTTCTTTTTGCTGGCATTTACCCTAAGGCTTCCCTCAATAGCTGGCGGTTCCCAGCACACTCCAGGAACCAGCATCACCCTGCCCAGCAACAGAGGCAATGCACCGACAGAGCCAGCGCTCCCCTCCCCAGCATCGCTCACCCCATGCCCCGAGCATGGGGACGCGGGGCATCACCTGCACGGATCCGATGGACCTGAGGTCATCATCCACACCCGTGGCTTTCTATCCAAGCCCTCTTCCTCAATCCCACATTGCGTTGCTGCAAAAATACCTGGATCAGACCCCTCCTGCAAACACCGGTGCAGGCGGAGCAGGGAAGGAAAGCGAGTCTAGAGATTTCCCCAAGTTACAGCGCTCTCCCGTTGCACACGCCATGCCCAGGCTGTTACAGAGAGCAGCTCTCCCCAAGCTATTTAACACACCCGACCCAATGGCCAGAAAATGACACAAGCAGTGGGTTGTTCCCTTGACCCAGCCAAAGTTTCCTCTCCTCTCCCCTCTCTGATCTCTTCTCTAACCCTAAAACCTTGCACCACAGCTGAGGGGCCCAGATCCCATCAGCCAAGCCACCTCCCCACCTAGAAGGTAAGCAGCCAGATATAGGGCTGATCCAATGCGTAGTATTTTTAGCTCATTTGCAAACAGCCTTCCACAGCCCCAGGAGAGCCCGTAACAAGAGAATGAAATAAAAGAGAGCGGCTATTTCTAGCAGTGTTTTTCATCAGGTCACTAGGAAAGGCTTTGGAGAGCCAGAGAGGGGCTTTGTGCCCAGCTTCTCCTGGGCCACAGGCAGTAACACGGCCCTCGGGTCAGCAGGACAAAGGGGACTTTGTTTGGGGTGGCCAGAGAGCACGGCGAGGCCACGCTGATTGAGAGTGGATGGGCTGGGTCTGTGCATTCAGATCGGGGTGGCCGGTGGGGCTGTCAAGGGACCACAGTGATCTCCCTCTACAGACAAAACTGCATTCCCAGCTTTTGATGGGAGAGACCAGCCAGCGAGCAGCCGGGCTGGGGGACGAGCCATCTTGCAGGCAGGGTAACATGTTCAGCTCCCCAACTGCTCAAAATACACAGACACCCCGCTGCTCCACAGGGGAAAGGTCCCACTGTGGGATGTCTCAACCCTGCAAAGAGGCATCCCACAAGGCTGCACCAGGACGGCACCGTCCTTCTCAGGGGGTGCTCCGAAATCTCGAGATCTGGTTTGACAGGGTGTTAGGCACGATCCATAAAACTCCCCATACAAGGGGCAAACAGAATTGGAAGCAAGCGAAAAATAAACCACACTGACACGTACTTTATCTCCAATGGTAATGAACGCTCTGGAGTCCAAGTTCCTTGGGGGCCTGCAAGAAAAGAGAGAGAAAGTCAGGAGAAAGCCCAGCTTCATTAACCCTCTTGGCCAGAGCCAGGTTTCACGTTCCTTCGAGGACTTTCAGCCGCTGCTTTCCACTGTACCTTGTTGTTGTGGGTTCAAACCAGCCCCCTCCAAACACTTACAAATGCTTTAATCGCGCCGGTAACGCCTCAGCCCACACCCACGAGGCACTCGCTGCGGGCAGCCAGCGGGAACCCCAGAGAGCCAGCTAGGCGAGACATGCACCGCACCAGCAGGCTACGAAACCATCCCTGCTCAGGAGAGCCTAAAGAACCAAGGCCGACGGGATGAGACGTTTCTGTGGCAAAGCAGCTCAGCTGTCAAGTTTTGACAGGCAGGCGTTGTAACAGGACAGCCACGTAGCCCGAAACGCACGCCGGGGGAACAACAGGTAATTCCTCACCCGTGAGTCATTTGTGTACGCTCGCAGGCCTCTTTCAGGCAGCGCGGCAGGCAGGGCAGGCAGCACTCGGGCGTCACGCTCTGCACGACCCCACACAGGTAAAAGTCTTCCTTTATGGCTTTATTCCTCATTGCTGCCCACTTCCCATTATGGGCAGCACGGTACTTTTAGAGCGGACGCGAGAGCGTGTTGTCCCTCGTGCCTCGCTTCTCTGCTCTCCCCATCCCCTGGGACCTCCTAAAAGGGGAGACTGCCCAACTGGTTGAGCCTCCCAGTTCCCACCAGAGCAATACAGCAACCTCTGGCTTCAAGGAAGTACTGCAGGCTCACAGCAAAAGCCTTGCACTGTGCAAATATTTGCGCTGCAACTTGAAAAGCACAGGGAAAAGGGCTTGCGGATAGCTTGCACCAGCTTTTACATGAGTGTTCTGGGCATGCAAGCACGCCACAAACTCTGGCATGATGCCTTCTCCAGGGGAAATTCAAACAGAGATAGGAGCAGAGACAGATGCACCCATGGGGGAAGGAGGTGGCTGTTCCATGCAGGGCTCAGCGTGTGCATGCTAAGCTGCACAGCATTAACGGGGGAGTTCCCTGGGCTCCCCCCCAAGGAGATCCACCCTATCTACCTGGGGGTTTTGGTAGTGATATTTCCCCTTTCGGGGATTTCACTGCTCTCATGGAGCTGGGAGGGTCTCTAGAAAGGTTTTCTGGAACAAACAAGGCTCAGCAGTGGAGATGCAGCCCAAAGTGCTTTGGAAGAGCATGACGGAAGAGGAATTTTAGCCATCTGCTCTTTGTCAAACCAAGCACCGCTACCCTGGGCTCTCCCCCACAGCATAACAAGCATCAGCTACATGAAGCAAACAGGGCAGAGAGAAATTCCAGTGCCCTGAGATACTGCTGGGCACCAGCCCCCAGCACCAAGCAGCACAACAACCTAAGATGTCCATGTCCTCCTCGCACCAAGGCGAGGAGCTGCAAACAACTCAAACTAGCCCTGGCACACAGGTCGGGGGGAGGATGTCCTGCCACGCAGAGCACCCCCCAAACCTCACCCCCCTACTCCTGCCGTGGTCCAGCTGCCACCACCTCTTCCCTTCCCCTGCACTAAAAACCTTCCCCTCTTCTTCCTTCGGGCAGATCTGCTCTCTCCACCATGTCTTTGCCCTTTGGCATCAGCACAGAAAGACTGAAGAGAGTCTCCCAGCAGTCTCCTAGCCTTTGCCTGCCAGCCATCTCAAATCAAACAGGCACCTCCCAGAGATGCAAGCACACATGCACACATGTGCAATTCCTTCTCATCGCCCACAAGCCAAAGCTTAAGAGGAAAAAAAAAAATGAACTATGCTGATTTTGTGAAGTCTTCACAGGCCATTCCCCTCGAGACGGCGCTGAATCCAGCTCCAGAGAACTGCCAGCTGGCTTTAAGCAGCAGAAACACTTACGTTGTGTTGGCAACGGGCTGTTTGATGGGGGGACATGTTATCCTCAGTTCCCGTTTCTTCTTGCTTTTCACTGGAAAAGAAGACGCACACGTGAGCAACTCGCATTTTTACTTTTCTTCCTTCAAACCTCGTCTTGCCTGCAGCCACCAGGTAGGGGAGGCAGGGCTTGGAGTCCCTACACTGTGCAGCTACAGCAAGATGACAAGAAGGTCGAAGTGTTCATGACCATTTGCCCAGAACTTCAGGCAAGAGCCAGAGGCACAAGTGGGTCTCAGTGTTCCTGTCAAGCACTTGCCTGCAGAAATACCCAGGGGTGCACTGACAGAGACCATTTTCTAAGTCTCGCAGCCAAGCACTGCCTTGCAGTGTTCCTCAGACACCCCAAAAGTGCTCCTTACCCTTCGTGGCCATTAACAGTCCCCTCTCTTTGGGGATTTGAATTGCTGATGTTCAGGAGATGGGTTAAAGCTGCGATTTCTGCTGGGCACTTACCTGGTTTGTGCGGCTCCAAGGATCCTTTGGAATCTGAAAGAGAAAAGGAAGACACCAGCTCAGCTTTCATCCTCCAGACCTGCCGGGTACCAACTCAGGGTCCCACGCACGGCCCAAGGAGAGCCCTGCCTGGGCAGAAGGAGGCAGACGGGCTGCCAGAGCCCAGCCCAGCAGAGCCTGGCCCGATCCCCGTTTCTCCAGCCACAAGAGGTCCCCATGCCATTAGTGATGCTCAGGGTACCCGAAAATGCTCCTTGTCCAGTTCCTCCTTGCCCCACAGGTCCCTGTCCCCTACCCAGGCCTTCTTGGGAAGAGCCAGACCTGTTCTGCAGCATGGGTTGGATCGGGCATGGAGGGCGACGGCCATCAGACCTCAAGCAAAACCAAGGAGCTAGACCCAGCAGGGGAAGGGACACCACACACACAACGAAGGGAAAACCAGAGCAAAACCAGACAGGAGCTGACTGTAAGAGCCAGCTGCAAACTGGCCACAAAGCCAGGCTTGCAGAGGCTGAGACCACCCCATCAGGAGTGACGGGCGAGAGGATGCTCTCTTCTCACTCCTCCCCAGCTCCAAACAGCACCGAGATAATATAACCCACTGCTGCAGAGGGAAATGGGGTTCAGGCAGGTCCAGGGCAGGCCAAAACACTTGCAGATGAAACTACAGGGACAAGAGGGGGGTCAGTGGGCAGCAACGGGCAGGGGAGACCTGTGCAGGGCTGAGAATCAGCTCCCTGCAGTGCCACAGACCCCAGGCTGCTCACCGAAACCCCAGCCAGTCCTCCACCAGCAAACAGCTCACCGACCTACCCCGGATTGCTGGGAAAATAAACAGAGCATGAGTGGCTGGGATGGGGGGCTGAAGTGATACAGCTGAGAGCATCGAAGTGCTGATCCCCCCCAAGAGAAACACGGGGGCAGCTGCGCTTTGCAGCTAAAGGTGCTTCTGGCTGCACAGACCTGGAAGATGCATTAAAAAGCATGAACAGTGAAGTGTGCTCCATGCACCGGGCTGGGAGCAGACGGCTCGGCGTGGCCTTGGACAGCCCTTCAAAACAGCTCCTACCTGCCCAGCTACCAGGATCAGGCATGCGAACAAAGTCCAGCATTCCAAAGGCTGCCGGGGAAGGGAGGGGAGAGGCAAGGAGCGGGACTTTCA